GTTAAACTCAAATCCTCCTAGTATTTAAGTTCCAACAGTTGCTATTACAGAAGTAAAGATAGCTATCATCTAGACCCATCCTTCCAATAATTTATACTAGCAGTGGTAAGGAAAAATGTGAACCACAAGTCCACAATGCATCCACAAACATGCTTAGTCTAGGTTGAACAAGCATACAACACTACTGTAACTACCAGTTTCATAGCAAAACAGATATCATTTTAGTTTGGTTTAATCTTCATTAATCCTGGAATCATTTAAGAGTGCAAAGAGTATGAAGCCTAAGGGAAAGAGTAAGGATAGAATCTTGCCTCAGAAACTTTTGTTCAAAGTTTCAACGTCGTCTTCTTAAAAAATCCCGGCGAGTTCCAAAACCTGATTACTGTTCACGGGTACGAAACACTATTCCCAAACTCAAAATCTGATCTCCACCGTTCAGATTGTGCGACACTGAGTCATGAACCTATCTTCCAAATTTCAGCTCGATCAGACCACGGACGAAGCAGGATCGGATGTTTGATGAAATCTGGGCAGAATGGAAAAAACCTGTGCGACCCAGTTACTGTTCACGAGTACGAATCACTGTTCCCGAGGTCAAACTCTAATCTCCACCGTTCAGATTGTGCGTCACTGAGTCGTGAACCTCTCCTCCAAAATTTAGTTCGATCGGACCACGGACGAAGCAGGATTAGAGCTTTGATCAAACATTGGCAGAATGTGAAAAATTGCGTTTTTCCTTCTCCACTTCCACAAAACGTGTGCTTTGTTTAAAAAAAACCCTACACAGACGTCTACCTTATACTTATAAAGTTTTCCTAAACCCTAGGTTCATTTAAGTCCAACTCACAATCCTAACCGGCCCATCCAATTAACGTAGAAACCTACGACGGCTATAATATAAAACCCTAATTTATACTGTAATTAAAACCCTAGTTATATGTATTTACCTAATTACCCTATTCACCATTAAATACTTAAAAAATAATCTAATTGAATAAAATAATAATTAGTAAACCCAATTAAACCAAATAAGACACACATAAAATAAGACACACATAGAATAATTAAACCAATTACACTTAAACCATTAATGCCAATTAAATAATTAAAACACTAACAAGTAATTTCAATCAAATAACTAAAAATAAATATCATTTAAATAAATTAAATCACCACAAAAGAAAACAATTAAGCACTTAATAAAAAATATAATGACACATAATCAAATAAAATGCACTTAAATAATAAATTAAATACCATTAAATACTAGGAATATCCTTTTTAAAATTAGGGGTTTTACAAAATAGGACTTAAATAAGACAAATTCCGTATCTAAAAAGTCTGACTTGTCATCAAGGGCTCGAGCTTTTTTGGAAAAAGGGCTCGAGCTTTCATGTAGAGGGCTCGAGCCCTAGCTTCTATACTTAGCCAAATTTCTTCAAATCTTTTCCAAAGCCTCTTCTCCATTAACACTTGGAATATTTTTGGATTTCTTCTTTAACAGTGCTCGATCCTTCCTTCATGGTGCTCGAGCCCTAGGTCTTGGGCTCGAACTTTTTGGCTTTGGGCTCGAGTTCTTTGGAAAGGTGCTCAAGCCCTTGAGTCTTGGCACAAGGTCCTGGAAGCTTGGTTTTTCTGAAATAACTTTTCACATTCCGATGCCTAATGTGCTCGAGCTCTTAGGCAAAAGCCCGAGCACCCTGAGGTTGGGCTCGAGCTCTGGAGATTAGGGCTCAAGCTTTTCTGCCTTAGTGGATTTTCTTGCTTCTTTCTGTTATGCTCGAGCAATAGAACTAAAGCTCGAGCCTTTACACTTGAATTCTTCTAATTTTCACCATTTTGACTCTTGGTTTGCTTCGGATGATCGGCAATGACTCTATAAGCTTCGATATCAATATTTTTATCTTAAAGTCTCAGTTTTAATCATTTCTTTGGGAAAATACCTACAAACACAAAATAAACATAAATCAGTCTAAAACTGGATAGAAGTATCACTTAAGGTCTTAACATACGTATATTTAGGAGCTCGAATAAGCAATATTCTGCGCTTATCACATATCAATCGATCAAGGACCTCAAAAGTTCCATTAACAGTAATTTTCATTTTCATCGATCGAAGTTTACATTGCACCGATCAATCGATGTAGAGAGCAGTTTGAATGACATAAATAAAAGTTGGGAAAAAAGTTTTCAATACTTGATTTTTCCTATATGGTAAGACCTAATACTTGGAGAACAAGTTGTATGGTTAGAGAACAAGTTGCTAAACTTTTTAAATAGGTTTAGGTTAGACATTAAGCGTAGGTGAAGGGATTTTATTTCATCATATAACTCTCACCTGTTAGGGTTTGCATATCATTCATCATATGTTAGAGGAAGGAGCTTTGAATCTCCGAAAAGTCTTCATGTCTTCATCTTACTAAAAGATATTCTAAGCTTGAGAATGGAGTTTTCATTGTCATATGTTTACAAGCTTGGGCAGTTGAGCTTTATTTATTTTTTAATCTAGAAGTAATATAAAATATATATGTTAAGTGATTGAATATCAATTGAAGAAGTCGGATTCTACAACTCCTAATATCCAAAGGCGCGAAGCAAAAAGTTAGGATGAAACAAGCACGTAGGTGAAGTAAGGCAATCAGGTCAAAACTAAGTGTGGAGTAGACAGATTAGGTCGGAACAGACATATGGGTTAGAATATTACAACTGAGTAGCTTGGAGTAGATTGAAGAAGACTCAAGGTAAGGAACCAGTGCATTATGAGATTGATGTGGATTAATAAGATTACGTATTTATGTAAAGAGAGAACAAAGGAAGAAAATTGGAGATGGGTGCCGACTATTGGTCGGCGGTTGCAATTAGGAATGCAAGTGGTAAGGAGGTTAGTAGGGCTTATGGCTATCTATGGGTATAAGATAGGGCTTGGTTTATTATTATTATTATTATTTTTTTTTTTTGGTAAATTACATAGACACCCCCTGAAATTAGGTTATTTTTCACCTAGATGAATATTTTGGTTTTAACTTTCATTTACACCCCAATTTACTTTTTGGCCTCAAACACATGCGAATTGACCCTTTTACCCTCAAATTTTTAATACAAAATATCTTTATTCTTAAATGACATAAAGGCCCCTGTATATATATATATATCGCCAGTGACAACTACCACCACGACCACCAGCACACCCATGCCATCACCACCACCAACACACCCATGCCATCACCACCACAGCTAGAGACGTCGCCAGTGACAACCACCACCACCAAATCCAAAACCCAAATTGAAAGCCAAGAATGCACAACAAGACGTCGCCAGTGGGTTCTTTATAACTCATCGACGCCGTGAAGCGATGCCGGTCCATCGCTGAGGCCATCGTCTATTAAGCTCATCGTCGCTGGTGGGTTCTTCCCTCTTCTTCGATGCCATCGTCGCCGGTGATTCGCAGGCGCTGTTCAAAGCTCGCCCGACCACCGCCACCTCCAATCCACAACCCAAAATCGATCAGGCTAACCCCTAATTCTTAGCCGCCATTTCGAGCTCGCCCGACCACCGCCACCTCCAATCCATAACCCAAAATCGATCTGGTCAACCCTTGATTCGCAGCCACCGTTCCGAGTTCTCCTGGCCACCACCACCTCCAATCCACAACCCAAAATCAATCCGACTCGCCTGGCCACCGCCACCTACTATATGATATATATATATATATATATATATATATATATATATATATGTAGTAATAACATTGTCACAAGGCCACAATATTGTTTTGTATATGTGTGGTGTGTGCGTGTGCGTGCGCGCGTGTGTATAGATACATATCTATGTAATTTTAAGGAGTTGGGTTTTGTGTGGCTATATGGTGGTGGAACGGCGAATTCGATAGGAGGAAGAAGAGGAAAGGTATATTTTGGGGGTAGTTTGGTCACAAAAATAGTCAACAGGAGGTCAAAGGGTAGCATAGTCATTTAACACCTCAAAAGTACTATGACCTCACCAAAATTTGACACTTGGGGTGTAAGTGAAATGTTAAACCACTAATTCAAATGTAAGTGAAATTTAAAACCAAAATGTTAATCTAGCTTAAAAATAATTTAACTTCATGGGGTGTGAGTATAATTTACTCTCTTTTATTTTTATTTTTTTATGAGAGCTAATTGAGCATATTTAGAAGGAATAAAACAATTTGGGTATTGGGCTGGGATTTTATATGTGAGTGGAAGATTTACTTTTTGTAGGGTTTTCGTATATGAGGATTTCCTTTTTGTAGGGTTTTCGTACATGAGGATTTACTTTTTGTAGGGAAGTCTTTTGCATGTGATCTAAGGTGTTTGATTACTTAATTCAACTCTTAATTGTGAACATATTAAAAGCTTATTTAATTAATTGCAATTGATAATGCAATTTGAACATCACTCAAAATTGTAAACATAATAACTTAAAATGGAGTAAAATTTTAAGTGATATCACCTATCATTGAATGCTGAAGACTGAAAATTCAATAAGATATCAAAAAATATTTGTTTTTTAATTACCACTTAAAAACTTCACTACTTCAAATTCAAAACTCTTACAATTTTCAATTCTTAATTTTCAATTTTATCAAAAACCACCTAAATCTAGGTCTCGATTTATGAACTCGTTTACAAAAAACTAACCCAACAAAAATAACCTTTGAACGTGGCTTGTTTAATAAATGAGCCTACGAATTATATTTCAGCTCGGTTGTTTACTTAAAAAATCACCCCAACAGATTCCATAGAGTCGGAGTGTGAGTTATCGTCGACCAACTCAATTTATTTGTAGCCCTACAACTAAACTAGGTATCACTAAGAGCAATACTATGATGAGGGCAATCTCACTACGAGCTCGTGCCTTCATCCAGAAGCAATGGTGATCAAATGGAGCGCCCTCATCATATCATTTATTTGATTTAAATTGTTAAGAGTGAAAGTGCACAGAAAGACGTGCACTTTCAGAAAAACATTACAGCAACGTAGAAAAAGAATATCATCCTTTCTTGTAACAGCCATTCTTTCACACAATAGGAACTTGTACAAAGCTTTTCTAACAAACAAATGGACAACCGTAGTGGCTTCACTGAACAAAAAGGGCATACACATTATTTGGGAATTGACAGAGAAAATCAACCCTTTCCTGGTAGTAGCAAGTTACACAACAGGGACTTGTACAAAGCTCTATTACTGATGAATCGTTCTCCAGGAAAAAGGGGAGCAAAAAAAGAAAAACATATTGGTGAAAAGAAAAAGAAGAGCTAATATGGACCTTTTGGTACACAGTACTTGAAGAATGGATCCCTTGTTACCAGCCACCATTCTTCGTTTCTGACGAGCCCACCCCATGATATCCACAATCAGAGAAATACCGCAAATGGCTTATGTTCTATCACCCTTCGGCCTGTTGGAGCCAAGTTACCCCTTGTTTATGTTTTCATCATTCCAAGAGGTGTTCACTGGAGGAAGTTGATATTCATCAGGTTTCAGGGCCAAAGCAAAATCAGGCAATGTTGGCGCCGTCTCCACAATTCTACAATCAAATATTTACAATATTAAGTGATGTCTAGGAGGACAAAGTTTCAGCTTACATATAGTTGTATATAACCCAGAATATGGATAATCTGATGCACATATATAATTATATACCAATGCTAGCAATTACTATTACTAATTATTATTAGCCGTATCAAGGCTGGAAGAGTAACTAGTTTCAAAGTACAGCAGAGAAAAAAATAATAATAAATAAATAAATCTGAGAAATACAATGACAGCAACCACTGATATTGCTCCCATTGGATAACATTGGTTATGAACCATTATCCACCATCCTCCGAATAAAACTAAGCACAAAGGAATTTTGCAGGCAAAAGTAAAATTAGTACACCAAAGGAGGACTTACTTTTCATGTGTGTATAAATCCCTGTTAATTCGCACTTTGCTAAAAGTGTCTTTTGGAATTTTCTCAGAAAGATACTTCATGGTTCCCCAAAGAGGTGGATTTCTGCACCAAAAATGACAATTATAGAGACATAAAACATAACATGATCAGCTATTCTAATATTAAGTGTTTACCCATAATCCTCTCCTATATTTAATAAATGGTAAAATTAATTATTTCCTTGAAAAGAAAATTGTTATCCAACAATAGAAGTTGGTCAAATGGCAGAAGATGTTACATGAACGTGAAGCCAGTATCGACAGTGTTGAAATATATAAATATTTCTATATAATTGTGAAGCAAAATCCTCCACCAATCATGGATGTGGAAATAAGAAATGCAAATAGGAAAAGGGAAGAGATACAACACAAACATATATATGGTTCGGCACTAAGGCCTACATCTATGGACAAAGAGCCACTAAGGGCTACATTTCTTTTCTTTTTTTTCCTAGTTGTACTCACACACACTTGTCTCTCCTGAAACTTGAACCCCTGACCTCCTGGAAGTAAGAGGCTGATACCGCTAGGCCACTAGCCCGTTAGTGTTACATTTCTATTATTCAGATGTGTATTTTGCTTAAGTACAAAGAGCCTATATATAGGCATGGTAAAAATAAGAATATATGGAAGGTGAACAATAGTCAAAGGAGGCACCATATTTTGGTGGAGGATTTTGCTCCGCAATTATATAGAAATATTTATATATTTCAACAAACAGCATACAATGCATTCATAATATTATGCTGTCTGCATGAAAATAAGTTAACCAAAATGGGTTATGAAATCTATCTCATTATACGAGTAAACAAATTACACTACATTGAAATAAGGTCCAGAAAACTCCTCTACAATTCATATAGAATCATCAGATTGTTTGTATTTTAGTAAAAGATGTGAAATCACTTCAAAGGTTAGGTCTGATAACATGAAGAAATACTTAACAGGCGATTTTGCTGCAAATGCACTAAAACTGCTGCACTATATATGTTCTACTTCAGCAAAATAAGACATTGGTTTACTGAACTTTTGAAAGTCACCACATGACTTTCATAGGTTTTTTTCTCAGTTGCTTTAATAGTCAAAAATTATGGATCGGACTATGTTAGGAATTTAGCAATTCTGATATTGTAATTGGTAAATTTCGTAGTATAAAACTCACCCTTATAATTTAATGATTATATGATTAGTGAGTGAGATAGAAATAGATTAGGTAGATGATTTGAGTGTGAAAACAAAGATTGCTTGAAGGAAGCTACATCAAAAGGGAAATAAGGTCTAAGATCTTCTACAAAGGGCAAATCAGTCAAAGAACTACTACAAAGTGCAATTCAGTCAAAGTACTTCTTCAAAGGGTAAAATAGTCCAAGAAATACTACAAGGGCAGAATAAATATATACATTATATTTATTTTGAGTTTCTAGAGCTTTCTACTAAATATATACGTGATATATATTTTCCTAAAGATATATAGAAGGTCAATATTGCTTAAGGATCAATTTGCTAAGAATGCTAATACTTTCCATATTATTATTTTAGCATATACTTCAGCATCAAGGATATATTTTCTAAAAGATTACATATACGCTATTTTGATAAAGTTCTAAGTTTCCTTTGATACTATATATGAATATGCATAAAGACTAAAGAGAATATACTTCTGGTTTCTTCATGCACGTTTTTGTATGCTTAATACACGTGCATAATTATTCTAAGTCGGTCACTAGTCAATGAAGTCAAAAATAGCAAGTCGTTGCTGTCTTGATCGAACCTAGCATTTCTCAATCGATCAACACCTTCACAACTTCGATCGACAGACTACGCCAATGACATCGATCGAACCTCAGCATATATCGATCGATCGAAGGCTCATTAGTTAAGATTGGCATTTTAAGTATAAAACTTAATTTCTATAGTTGAGTTGAGTTGATCATTTTAATTACTTTAATATAGTAAGTAGCTCAAGTTTAAAATGTTTTCAGAAGAAAAGATACATATGTACTTTACATGATATATATTCTTTTAAATATCTTTTCTTATATATATAAAATATAATTTTATATTATATTTTAAGTGGAATCTAAATTTACGACTTGGAAAACAAGTTTACTTGGAGACCACATCATTTGAGTAGGGAACAAGAAGGGTCCTCTATATATACTAAGTCTGAAATTCAGACTAGGTGTGCTTTGCATCATTAAGGTGCGACTCTCAAATGAAATAGCCCCAGAGTGCTTAACACTGCCAAAAGCATTCGTTTCTATGTGAGAGTTCTACTTATGTGTATCCATAAGAGAGTCTGTGTGAGACATATTTCTTATGTGAGTTGACGGCACCACACTTTATATATATACACATACACCTTATATATCTTGTGTTATTTGTTTTCACATCAATCATACATATCATAAATTCTGCATTAGATATGGTGATTATGATGTATTCATTGTGTTGACAATATTGTTGCGGTATGAGCTGAAAAATTCAACATCAACACAAGGCCAAGAAGTGCTACTTTACAAAGCCAAAATCGACCAAAAACCAAGTGGTGAAAGGATTGGTTGACAGAACGAGTCCGAGGTGAAGAAGCTGTGTGCATGGTGGGATTGATTTGGATAAATGGGATCATGTAGCGGTTAGATGGATCGGCTGGAGGATACATGGAGACTTTCTGGAGTGCTTTAGTACGGCGTTGGATGAAATAGGTGGGAGTAATCAACGGCAAGGTGAACGAGCATTGAAGGTTTGGTATCTTACTGAGTCTGGAGGTTAGCTGGTGTTCATAGTGAGTGAATTGGACTAGTTGTAACACACTTTCTTCATAGTGATTTTTCTTGGCCATGCCAAGTCCTGACTTTTTTTTTATCTACAGTTGGGGTAGGTTTTTCCTTGTAAATCTGGTGTGCAAGTCTCTTATCTCTATTTACTTTACTGCACATTTTAATTGATTATATATTGCTATGTGATTGATATATGCTGGATGTTTATTATAATGAAATCATCACATACATGTGCACAATGATTAAAAGCAATTAAATCAGATTTAGCATATCATTGTTAAGTACTTGGCTAAATATAAATCAACTAAGGGCTGGTTGAATAAGTTATTTATTTGTTTGTTTAAATCATATTTATTTGTTTGTTTAAATAAATAGTTTATTTGTTTATTCCTGATTTATTTATTTACGGGTCAATCACTTAATAAGTGAGTGATTACAAAAGTTATTTAGATTCACCAACTTACACTTGAATTAATATATCTCTGATATATTACCTTCCGCATTCAAAAGATAAAAGAAGTTTGTGTGAATTAACAAGCAAAGTCAAAACGTAAATGAAAAGTGAGAACCGACCTATTCACCCCCTCTCTAAGTCCTATCTCAAGATCCTGACCGTCGCGTTCTTGATTGTGACTGGCTTCAGTCACAGTTGAGACCTCTTCAGTTAGACTCACTCTTGAGCTAAACTAATAGAACCCGAATCATCAGAATATCAAACAAAAGACTGAAGTAAACAACATAAGAAATAAGATAGCAGACTACATCTATGTCTAAATAGGCGGAGGAGATAGTGGAGAAGAGGTGACAACTAGCTTGAGGAAAACAATACAAATATGATGTTTTTAAAGGTAAATGACAGAATTAGGATGCTAGATTAGAAATTCAAATCCCATTCTTCCTTCTAATACTAGAAAACTCCTCCTCAAGAAGGAAAAGAGATGTGAAGAGTTCTATTCCCCACCTCAATTTCAGGATGATGAGAAAGAACGGGAAGCTAGCATCCGAGAAAAGAGTGCAGTTTATTCCAGAAGGCAGAGGGACAATTTAGCACTTGCTACTCTAGTTTCGTCAATTAAAACAATATCTTCAAAAAATAACATACAACATGGAATCTCATCCTAAATTTGTCTCACTAATTCATCCATACCTAAGGCAAAAAGAATAGACATAATGCCAACCCTTGATGTACGCCTACCGTAATTGAAAATTAATTTGTTTCCTCCATAGTATACCTAACTATAGTTGCACACCCATCATGTCTATTGTGTCAATGTATCCCTCTGTGACTCCTTTCTTTTCTAAAACCCTCTACAGTAGATCTCTAGGTGCCCTATCAAAGGCTTTCACTAAATCAATAAAAGCCACGTGATCTTTCTTTTTCTCTCACTTTCTATATCATTCCATTGGTATCATCAATGAGTAAATAGCATTCATCGTAGACCTCCCTAGCATGAATCCAAATTGATTTTCTGACGCAACAATTTTCAGTCTTAACACTCTTGGTCTCTCTTCCAAAGTTTCAAAGTATGACTCATTAATTTAATATCACGATAATTAGTTAAATTTCAATGTCCTCTTTATTTAATCTATAGGTAATAAAATACTTTGCGCCATTCATCAGGCATTTTCTTAGTTGTTATTATCTTATTGAATAATTTTGTTAGCCAAGACACCCAAACTTATTCGTCACTAAGTAAATAGCCAGGACCATTCTATGTTTCCTTAAACTTTAAATAGCACCAAATCTTGTAAAACATGATTTAGATCTTGAAATATTCAAAATAGTTAGAACTCGTCACTAAGTAAATAGCCAGGACTATTCTATGTTTTCTTAAACTTTAAATAGCACCAAATCTTGTAAAACGTGATTTAGATCCTTAAATATTCAAAATGAAAATCTAATCTAAATCAGTAAGTACCAAACATTTGGTGCTTCAAGAAGAAAAATCTTGCTTGTCGAGTGGAAACCAAGTTGTTAATTGACCCATAATGATCGATAACGGGTCCTGACCCAAGGTTTTATAGTGAATGTGTTTTGCACCTACTATTGGAGACATGGGAAAGATAAATAGAATTAGGGATTTTTGTCCATTAATTATTATTATTATTTTAGTAATGTTTTAATTTAAGGATATTTTAGTACCTTAGGCTTTTAGGGTTTTATTTATGGTAGTAGGATTTGATTAGGGTTTTTCCTTGATACTTGTATGTATGTGGTTGATACATTGAGAAAGAACCTTTTGATGAATATTGAATATTATTGAGATTGAATACAGACTTCTTCCCACTCGGTCTTCTTCTTCTCCTTCTTCTTCTTCTTCTTCTTCTCTCCTCTCTCTCGTTCTACATTAATTTTGTTATCGAAGGGCCCCTACATGTACTGCATCACATAAATTTTGCTTACACATTCTAGCACACATCATTTATATATTCATAGTAGATGCAACCAAAACAAAAAATGAAAAGAAAAGAAAAAAAAGAAGGAAATTGCATTCACTAAAACCTCTCTATAATATCTGTGTTTCCTCTTCAGTTCGTTAAAAAAATAGAAAAAAGAGAAAGATGCCCTGAAAATACATTATTACCATAGAATTTCTCAACCAGAAATCATGAAATATTTTTGGTTATGAAAATAAATAAATGAATAAACAAAAAAAAAAAAAAAAAAATGATCCATCTCAATTCCAGGAGAGAAAAGGAGAGTTGCAGTGGATTACCGTGACAATGGAGGAGCCGTGTTAAAAGCTTCACATGCCTTCTTACTTTCTTTGAGATACTCGTCTGCTGCTTGCAAAGCAGATATGGCCATCCCATGCGATTTTTCTGTGTTTCCCTCATCAAGGATCAAACCATGATAGTAATACGCTGCAGCCTGGGCGGAAAAAATAAAAACTTTTTTCAAAGTAAGCAAAAAAAGTGAGAAATAAGATAACTTGCTTATAGGCTATGGCCACATCAAAGATAACTTCCTGCAGGAAACACCTAAATTTATACTCTTGTGATACTGCCCTGGTCTTAAATTGGTGTTTGTTGGCCATATAAAAGATTTTAACTTTGTTCAGAAAACTCCAAAATTTGTACTGTAGTCAAGGTATCTTTAAGTCTTATATCGGAGCCTTTTCATCAAACCACAATATATGCATGTTTCTAGCCACAAACACACGTTTTTCTAAAAATTCATGCCCCATCAAGGTAGTAAATAACATAGTGCAAAAGGCCCAATATCTTCTAACCTAGCAGGTGTGGATAAGTTCTGTCAATCACATTTCCTGGAGACTCTAGGAAGAACATTTATACACTGCTACCGTAAATTGAACTGGATCTACATGGTTCATACCCTTTGGCATTTTTCAGTGGATTATTATTATCTATAAACAAAAAAAAAAACAAGGGATCTGTAAATGACAATAACTACAATATGAGCAGATGAAAAAATAAGGCTGATAAGTGACCAAAAAAAAAGTGAAAAATGACAACAGCGAAAGGATCCAGAAATCAGCAAAAGCAACCAAAAGATACCTTTGCTTCAATGTACTTCCATTTTACAAAGAGCAGATGTTTTTCTCCCCAGCCATTCGACAAAGGTTGGTTCATAATGTTGTCTTGTGCCTGCAAAGCAAATAGCAAAAATGAAGCAAATGGTATGATATGGCTAATTAATTCATAAGACACTATGGTGGTCAACCAGAAAATTTCACGTAATTATGTGGAAAATAAATAAATGAGATGGAGATAAGAAATTTTCATGATTATTTAGTGATGCTACAAGAAATATCATCATTTCCTTCATCCCTATCACATAATAAGTAGAATACATCCTAAATTACTTTCCTTTTAAATGTGATGTATGAATATCAAGCCAAAAACAACCCCTCCCCCCAAACCCCCAGCACCCCAAAAGGAAAATATATATATATATAATAAGAATCGGAAAAGAAAAATAGACTAAAAGTCTGAAGAGTCAGGGCAAAAGAGTCTTTGGAGGTAACCAAAGAACAAGAGGACGAAGAAAATTTTTGGGGTGTTGCGGTGGTTGGGTTTTTTTTCTCAGGGGTGGGTGGGTGGTAGAGGGGAAGAAAGAAAAGGAATCAACTTTTAAAATTGTTAGTGTTGACTTCTTGGTTCACAATTGGATATTGAGCCACCTACTAGAGATGGGCAATCAAAACAAAACACTCCATAATCTACTTGTTAGTGGTGACCCAAAACAAATGGAAGATTTTTCAAAGCACAGTAGCAATCTTCGAACAACATTTAACAAAGCTTGTTAATAACTGAGCATTAGTTTGAAAACTTCAAATCAAAACAATAGACCTAACATAATAGGCAACACAAGAAAGCAGAACAGTATGCCAACTACATCATGCAAAACTTGAAGAATAATACAAAAATTGCCTTATCCTACATTGAAAGCATTTTGAAGCAACTGAAGAAATGAATGGGTTGATATAGAATGTAAGCTGAGCATCTAGTGAGCAGGTATGTGTCAATTTTTGTCGTTGAACAAGTTAGATTCTTCAAAAATATGCAAGAAGTCTCAATTACAAGTTTACAACTACAAAAGCCTAATTCTACTTATTCCTAGTTGGCATCCAGCCTATCATCCATGTCCATCCCATCTCTTCCATGTTTCTCCATCTTTGTCTGTCTTTCTCATCTCCCACTTTTAATGCTTTCTATCTTGGTTTCATCTCTTTCTCATAAATCTCTCGTTCAGCCGAAGTTGAAGACGAACAACTGCTTTCACTCTCACTCTCTCTCATCCACCAGAGATCCCAAATTGGACATCAGAGGCGGCAAAGGACATCCCAAATCAGACATAAGAGGCGGCAGAGGAGATTGTAATTAGTGCATGGGTTCCCATCTCCATATATCCCTCTGGGTGTATAAATATATGTATTATATCTGTCTAATAATATCTATTGATCACTGTATTTTTCTCCAATTATACATATATAAGCAATTATTAGAAGAAAACAAAAAATGCAAATGGGCCTAGTTGAGTAGAGCTCGAGATTGGTTGAACGATGTCAAGCCAAGCTTGTTCCAACACGAGCCAAGGTTGAAGACTTCTCTGATCTAAGGAGCCAAGCACAAACAATCCAAAGCTCAGCACAATTCGTTTATAGATTTACAACCTGCATAGCTTAACTAAGAGATCCTGGTGAAGTGGAAGAAAATGGGGATAACACAAAAAGAAAAGAAAAAATAGAAAGAAAGTAAAAAAGACAAAAGAAATAACTAAAAATCAATTACTAGTAGAGGAACAAAATAACAATAAACCACCCAGGAACCCAAAGGGCACAACCTACACATGAGGGCACAACCTACAAATGTGGAAATGACCTTGAGGGGGGGGGGGGGGGGGGGGGGGGTGTGGGTTTGAATATGTATCCTTTGCTCGATTTAAATGTTTTAAGTTCACAAATTATTGAATTACCCAAATCAATTAATCAACCAACCACGAAAGTAACTAAGCAATAGCAAGCAAATAAAACAACGGATTTTTTATGTCAGAAACTGAAAGAGAAAAACCACGAGACCCTAGTAGGCTTGTATAGAGTCCGACAACCCACTAAATAGAAGAAAGAGTACAGCATCAGCCAGTAAATCCAAACTCTTACTAGAATCATCACCCATTCACCTCTAATGTACAACATTCCCAGCTAAACACGAGTCACATGACTCCACCTTGAAATCACCAGTACACTGCTCTCAACATCAAAGCAATCACTCACCACAATCCGCTCTTCTTTATTGGTGATTGTAAGCCTACCCAAAAACTCTGCAACAGCAAGCAACTATGATCTCTAATGCTAATTGTTCTTCAAAAAATTTCAGTTGAAACTTGAATGTACAGAGGAACCCATGAAACTTGATATGCTCAATTTCTCAAGTGTGTGTGGGTATAAACTAGTTTAAACTCAGAAAACAGAACTTTTAGAAACAAAAAGGTGTTTGTAAGACCAGCTCATTATCTCCAATGCAACCAATCCTGATTACTTTATTCAATCTCCATATTCCCCTATATTTCTTCGCACTAAAACTCATTGAAAAGGTGTTTATATATGTGCCTAAAAACCAATTTTTTTTTTTTTCTTTTTTTTTTTGATAAGTAAAAACAAAAACCATAATTTAAGTCAAAAGAATATATAAACAAGTTTGAAACTTTTGGATAAGTCAGAAACAACTAGGACACTTTTCGAAACTGTAAAAACACTAAATTTTCACGAGGAGCAGGATCATGAGTACCAGTGTTCAGGACTCTACGAGGTAAAGTACATGTGTTCTCAGTAGTACTCAAATCTCTATGATGTTGAGTATCAATAGTCAAAGGTTAAGTATCAGTTCTCAACTTACTATTCCAAAAAGGGAGGAATAACACTCAAAATCACTTGGCATACTTCCCATGTAGGAACACTTATAACATTGAAATAAATCAAACCAAGTTTCTGAAACACTTTTTCGAAAATCATAAAAGAAAACACTGTCTCCAAAAGGCCCACCCATTTTCAAATGGAATTCAAACTCCAATAAAGAAAATTATAAATCGGTCAAGCTTTTGACACAAAATTCCAACCACAATGATACTAAGTCCTAACACTTGGTAATGGAATCCAATGTTAAAGGACCATGAATTACCAATGCATTTTAAGAACCTTACATAAGACCTAATGGCCACTCATTTCTAGCGACTGAAACATTTGGGTGTGTTACAGATTGTAAATGGAAAATATGCTAGCTTAAGGAGTGAAATGGTTCTTGCAAATATGCAGATGCCTTTTTGCGAGATCCTCAAAGTGAGTTTCAGTAAAAAAAACACACATAGTAAGAAGAATTAAATGCAGCCATCAACTGAAATCACTTATCTTGACGTGTTTCCTACATGCGTCAATGTCTTTTATATGGGTAACATTGAAGTAGCATAATTGGTATTTCATCTTGTTTACAATGGCATAAAAAAATAAAATAAATAAAAAAAATAATAATAATTAAAAAAAACACGAACCAAAAAGACTGGTGCTACATCATAGGCATGATAAATTGATTGTAAACCCCAAGGGCTTCATGGTAGTAATGAAACATCCTTGGTATGTCAGATCTTAGGAAAAAATGGTGAAAGAGTGATGAAGTAATACCTGCTGCCAGTACTTTACCATCTCACATGCAAGCCTTCGTTTCACTGCAAGTGTGGCTTTGGTACTATCAATTGCGACACCAAGTTGGATATCAACACCCTAATCAGACGTTTGAAATCAGCAAAAAATAAACAGAACAGTATAGTGGCCCATGTAATCTCTACTTTCAGAAAAGTTCAACAATTTGTTCTTCAGTAAGAAGCCAGTGCAAGATGCATGTGGACCACTCAACTTGATCAATTGATTATATGATCTATGTAAAGAGTAGGTAAAATTGAATATCTAAAGTACAGAATCAGTGCAGAAGCCAATCATTTATAATAAATGACTCACTTGCAGAAACGAACAATAATTTACAATGGTAAGTCAATCCCTTAAGAGTTTTCCACTGATGTCGAGTCACTAATACCCAACAAGGCAAGAGCCATTTCTGAAATATATCTTTTAACCGATAAGGGAAATCAAGTAGAATAAAAAATAACCATATTAGACAACTCATTCATGATGATGAATGTTACCTTGCCATATTGTTAGGCATATCACGGGTAGTTTATTAGGACCAACAGCATTTTAACTTTTTCACTTATTTGCAAACTGGCATTAGTAAGATAATGTTAAGCGCATCAAACATTAAAGGAAACGGACCAACAATATGATTCTGTAAGATAAGTATAAATCATATTTTTAAAAGGATTCACTGACATCCTCTAATATGACATGAGTTGGCTCAAGTCTCTAGTGAAATAATTTACTAGCACAGAAAATAACTGTGTTATTTCATGATGCATTATTTGCCTAGGCAAAGTGTCGTATTATTCAATGAAGACTTAGCAGAAGTAATTTTGTATCTGTCTAAGATGGACACAAAGTTGAACATTGGAATATTGCCACATCAAAGGTCTTACAAAATAGCTTGTGTAAAGATAGGAGAAGTAAAGATAACATAACAATGCCTTGTTTCTTTTTCTATTGAAAAAAAATGTTTGGATAAAGTCTTTAATTATGTTGTGAAAATGGAAGCCTTTTTTTTTTTTTTCGGTAAATAGGAAATGGAAGCTTTCCATCAATTGTTGTGAAAGACCATAATAGCTTGATAACAAACTGCCCAACTAGGAAGATATTGATGCCTTCTTTAATGCTTCGTTTGGTACGAAGGAAGGAAGAGGGGAGGAGGGAAAATAGGAAGGAAGAAACAAACTTCCTTCATTTGGTAGAGAGGAGGCAAGGAGAGAAGAGAAAAGAGGATGGATGGGTCATCTTTGCAAACTGGCATTAGTAAGATAATGTTAAGCGCATCAAACATTAAAGGAAACGGACCAACAATATGATTCTGTAAGATAAGTATAAATCATATTTTTAAAAGGATTCACTGACATCCTCTAATATGACATGAGTTGGTTCAAGTCTCGAGTGAAATAATTTACTAGCACAGAAGATAACTTTGTTATTTCATGATGCATTATTTGCCTAGGCAAAGTGTCGTATTATTCAATGAAGAGTTAGCAGAAGTAATTTTGTATCTGTATAAGATGGACACAAAGTTGAACATTGGAATATTGCCACATCAAAGGTCTTACAAAATAGCTTGTGTAGAGATAGGAGAAGTAAAGATAACATAACAATGCCTTGTTTCTTTTTCTATTGAAAAAAAATGTTTGGATAAAGTCTTTAATTATGTTGTGAAAATGGAAGCCTTTTTTTTTTTTTCATGTAAATGGGAAATGGAAGCTTTCCATTAATTGTTGTGAAAGACCATAATAGCTTGATAACAAACTGCCCAACTAGGAAGATATTGATGCCTTCTTTAATGCTTCGTTTGGTACGAAGGAAGGAAGAGGGGAGGAGGGAAAATAGGAAGCAAGAAACAAACTTCCTTCATTTGGTAGAGAGGAGGCAAGGAGAGAAGAGAAAAGATGTTGGATGGGTGGGTCATCTTTGCTCCTTCACAAATTTTCATCCCTCCAAATATGGACGGAAGACACGAAGGAAGAAAGGCAAGGCTGTTATAAATGCTTTTAAATTACAAAACTTTCCTTGTAATTAGCACTCTCTCTTTCTTCTCTCCTAACAAACAAAATAAGGTATTGTCTTATTCTCTTCTCTTCCATCCAACCAAACAAAAAGAGGGAAGGACGCAATCTCTTCCCTACAGATGTTTCATTCATCTCTTCTTCTCTCTCTTCCATCCAATTTTCTTCCTTCCTACCAAACGGAGCATAAGGATGGATATAAGGTGGTTCTAGCTCCAATTTAAAATGAAGAGGAAAGTTTATTCGAGTGCCAGCCACTTTTTAAAATGAGTTTAATGCTAATGGGCAGGAGCAATAGCAAGCCATTCTTGCTCTAAAGATGGCACTCATGGAAGAACTTAAAGAAGATTTTCCTATTGTCTTATTAGAGGCTGCCTCCAAAAAGAATGTACTCAACACTATATTGATTTGATACCAAAGCAAGTCTACCAAACTCGCCCCAAAAGTTACTAAATGAGTCTGAAGTAACACCAACTCCAACAGCAAGTTGAGCTACTGAATAAAGGATTTATCAAGGAATCCATGAGCTCATATGCAGTTCTAGCGCTCCTGATTCCAAAGAAAGATGAGGCATGGAGAACATGTGTTCACCGTAGAGTGATCAATGATATAACCATAAAATATTTCCTTCCAATTGCGCAGCGAGATGATATGTTATACAAGTTACATGGAGCAGAAACGTTCCAAAATTGATCTTAAAATAATTTTCATCAAACCAGAATTTGTGAAGCTGATGACTGATGAGTTGGAAGGCAACATTGAAAACTGAACGTTGGTTTTAAGAATAGATGGTGATACCCTTTGGTTTGCCAAATGCACTAACCATCTTCAAGGTTTTAATGAATCAAGTTTTGAAACGGCCATTGGGAAATTTATAGTGGTATACTTCAATTATATTTTGAGTTCCAGCCCATCCAAAAAGTCTCACTTATTACACCTGTATTGGATGGGTTACATCAGAAAAAACTCTATTCTGATCCAATCAATTACCTATTCTTTGATGTTTTTGAGTTTAGTGAGTTGGGTTATAATGTAAGTTCAGATGAATCAGTTTGGATGAAAGTGTTACAGGCAATGCAACTGCTACACAAGTTGAAAAGCAGTTAATAAATTAAAGAGAACAGAACTTTAGTTACTGTCCTAGCATTAAAAGAATCGGGAAAATCTTTGAGGCGGAGGATATGGAATCCATGCCAAGTGCAAAGAGTATGTGTACAAGAAAAAGGCATGTTAAAGCTTCCAAGTAGAAATAGCGATGGTTTACCTAAGTAAGGTCTCAATGACTCTCATTCAGAATTCAAATTGAATCATCAGAAAGATTGAAGAAAATGCTTATAAAATGGTCTGCCTTAACACTTGGGCATGGGCATTGATCCTACATTTGCCTCATATACATATATAAAAAAATATATACATATATAAATATGAGTGTATAGATATATATATATATATCCATACCATGAGGGTAATAAAGAACAATTACAAATCAGCACTAAAAGTTACTCCGAGGAGGTGGACTGATGAAGACAGTTTCATGGAATCTTAAAATGTGTCTTAATAAATGAAAAATCAAAGAGTCAATCTTGTTTTCATAAAAAGTAGTATTTGAGGTCTGAAAATACGAGGTGATAGTTTATTTTATTTTTTTTATAAGTGAAAAATACTAGGTGCTAGTTTATGAAAGTGAAAGCATCATTTAATGTTGTGTGAGAGTACCAAAAGTCATTTTAGGGAAGTTCTGGAGGTCATTAATAATTGTTTATAGGACAACACTCCTACTCTGCTCTATCAAGTTTTCTCCAATACAATACAATTCAGTGTTTTATGCTTTTCTTAGCTTGTTGGTTGTTCTTCAATTCTAAGGATTTTCCTAGATTTCCCATAAATATTCGACTCTGAAAGTGATTGGAGTAATACCCATCTTTACATACTGTTGGAGAATATTATTATAGGAATTAGGAACCCTTACTTAAAGTACTCATTGACAGAATATTGCTATGAGACTTGTTGACAATTATGTATTTGACTTTCTGTGTAATTCATTTATTATAAAATACTTGTAAAGCAAGAATCCTTGTAGAGCAAGTATTTTCTATTCTCTAGCTACAAGTCCATCTCATTTCACCTATAAATAGAGGTGATCATTGTATACAAAAATCAAGAGAGTATAATAAAGATACGTAGATCTTTGGGCTTTGTGTGCCATGGATGCAAGCCCCAGTAGCTGAACCACATATATCCTTGTGTTCTTCGTTTTCTACTTCTCTTTTCAATTTTGACAATTGTAACTTGTAAGTGGAACTCTCTCTCTTTATTTGCATCATTTAATATTTATATAATTATTAAAAATTAACACATTTGAGGGTCACAAGATAAGAATCGTGAGTTACAGAAAGTGCAGCTTTGATTATGCCTAGGCTTGTGAGGCATATAACATTTAAAGCTTCAAAGAATTAAGTATGCAACCCTGAAGACAAGTCTTCCAGCAAACCAAAAATAATTTTTTAAGAACTTCAAGTAACACAGCCCCATGCCAATAGTATATATAATTATTTGTTAATGACAGTGTTGTCAACCATTTACTTGCACCTTTTCTTTCTTTTACCTTGTATTTTAATTATATTTTTCATAATTTGTTTTTTGGATCACCCACTAATACAGTGTACAAGGGTATTATAGAAACCGTTGTTGGCACTTCACTTTAGCATTACCTATAATTAAAGGCGCTCAAGATTAGTTATGATATGCATGAACTGATAGAACCATTAGTATAGGTTTCCAATGCTTCAACCGTATTCATGGTATTCCCTACTTTAAGCTGCTAAACAGTAAAAACAGGAACCTGTAACTACCAAAATTTTGTTATTCATGTTTCATCCTCGATCTAAGAATTGTAGTCCAACTTGTTGTATTTATAGAAAATGATTGAAGTAAGTTGTTCTATAAAATTCCAATTAATTTATATTGTGCATGCTCCTCATTCAATCTAGGTCTGGCCTGCGGACATTAGTTCAAAATTTTCAATGAAACAAGCTTTTTTTTTTCCTAGGCAAAGCGAAAAGGAAAATATCCAAGAAAATTGGCATTGCAGAAAAAGGAAAAAAAAAAAAACCTTTCGAGGCAGTTGACTAGTCTTTTGCAAAGATAATTGAAGATAGAAGTAGCAGACCAGGTAATAAGTCCCTCTCCCCTCCAAAAAGTTACCCGTCCATCTACCTCCCACGATTACAGTAGGATCCCTCCTAATTATTATTGGAATAAGAATTTGTGGTTAGTTAGAGTGAGTTACACTGGTACCTTTGGTTTCATTATGCTCATTGTTTCCTCCTAAATATTTTTGGGTTGTTTCAGCTAGCCACTCAGGTTCTCAGTGATTTTCTTGTTTTGGGTGGCACCAGAGCTTTGCTCATATGCTTGATTGGGATCCTACTGCATATCCCAATCTTCAGTTTGGTGAAACAAGGTACTAGATCCAATCCAAAAATTCACAATTGTTCATCTTTTGGTGATTAATCTGAACAAATTAATAGTTCAACTGCGACCAGCCAAGGAATGAGCAAGTACCTGTCCTAATGCTTGAAGGCAGAGTGCACGTAGAACTCCTTCAGCTAAATCAACAGGTAGATCTCTCCTAAAATCAAGAAAACAATCAAAAGGGTTATCAGCATAACAGTAATTCATGCACGAGATGATAGGTATCTGCACAAGTCTTTCATCAATGAACCTGAGTTGAGTGGGCAACTGCGGGAGAACATGTTTGACAGCACAATCCAAGTACCCAGCTGCCTTCAAGAAAATATCAATTGAAGCTCGCCTGCTCTCTGTTACAATTAATAGCAGAACCAGCAAAAACATAAAAAACCATGTGAAGCATAATGACACATAAATGAAAGCTTATCCATGAAAGAAACTCTTGAGCTCACTAAAATATAAAATCTAAGGATACTTCTAGTAGCAAGACTATGCCTCCCCTTAGAACATGCCAACAGAATAACAAATGATATAATAAACTCATCAACCAACTTCTTAAAAGTTAATCAAGTCATCTACCAGACAGAAAACTATCCAAACTCTTTTAAGAATACCAATAAGCTTCTACAAAACACTGAAGACTTACTTAAAAAAGAACAGAAGCATTTCACAACGTAAATGAAATACAACAAACAAATACCTGTTCATTTCACCAAATTTCTACACTATGAACTATAAATTAGATTATAATCCATATGTAACTAGATTAGATTGTGCACAATATATACTTCTTTTAATAGAACAGCAATAATGAATTCTTTTTGTTTTTTATCATGGTACCACAGCAAATAGGTCAGCCATACACTACACACTTTTTATTGCAACCACTCAACTCCCAACAACTATCTTTTCACCACACTTAAGGCCAAATCTCTCTCTCTCTCTCTCTCTAAATATATATATATATATACTGCTTTTCCATTTCAGATTATTTAATAAAAAAATTCCACCTTATTTGAGTTACAGGACCCTGGTGCCTTTGGAGCTCACTAATGCAACCAACAGAGATGATTCCTATCAACATAGTTTCGAGTATCAAAACCTTGACATCATGTGGCCAAATTTAAAGACAATTTTGTTTGTGAGAATGCCAAAATATTTTTAGGAGTATCAAAAACCTTGACATTCTATGACCAATTTAAGAAAGACTAATAATGGCAGAAACCATTTAAGGACTTTGTTGCTCATTTGAGTCTAATTTTCATCCAAAACGACCCAGGTAGGACTGCAAATGAATCAAGTTGTTCATGAAAATATGAGGCTAACCTTGTTTCAAGCTCAACCCGTGTCTTTTCATAGAAAATAAACCGAGCTGGAGCTCATTTCTGGGACTCGCTTATTAAACGAGCATAGCCCAAACAATATTCAACTTGACTTGTATAGGCTTGAAAACAGAGGCTCGCAAACACGTGACTCTTATAGGCTCATCTGATCAATAAATGTCATATAGTTGTATAATTTATTTTTTTCCGCCTTTTGCAATTTTGACAAGTTCTATACCTATTTATTGATAAATAGAAGTACATAGTCATTGAGTTGTTCTCTAATGAGCCTGATCAGATCCTCAGCTAAGCCCAAAATAATGAGCCAAGCTCAAACTATCTCAAGCTCAACTCCCGGGCCCCAACCACTAGTTTTAGGGGTGGCAAAGTTTGACACAACCCGCCAACACGACTTGAACACGACACGAGTTAAGCGGGTTTGGGTTGACCTTAAACAGGTTCGGGTAATAAACGGGTCGACACAATTAACTCGTTTAGTTAATCGTGTCGTGTTTGGGTTGAGGGGTTCAACCCGTTTAATTATAAGTGTCATAAAAAAATTTCTATTGAAGTTCTAAAATAACTATCTAAACTTGCATCTTCTAATTTATTTTTTTGTAGCTCAGAGATTATTTAGTAATTTGGTTGGATTGAAACTTATATTTTTCTAGTATCTATTATTTGATTGAGTATTATTAATAATTTAAATAATATAATAATTCATTTTATTAAATAGGTCATTAAATGGGTTACACGTGTAACCCGTTTAATAAACATGTCGGGTTAGTGTTGAGGGTTTCTGACACGATTATTAAATGGGTCGTGTTCGGGTTAAACTGTTTTATATAATACCTCTACATCAATACGACACGATTACGACTCGCGAACACGAATTGCCACCCCTCAGTTTTGTGGCCCATTAGAGACTTACCCTTCTCTCGAATTTCCAACCAGATGATTACCACCTACAATAACTAGCAGCACAAGTACTTTTTAAACCATAATACAACTAATTAAAACACCATAAGACCACCTTTGAGCAAAAAAAACCATTCTGAACTTTTTCTCCATGAATTTGAGGGAACTATGAGCATGTTTGGAAGCAATGGGACAATGTGAATGATAGGAACAAAATACAGAAATCACAACTGATTTTAATCTCATTGCAGTATTCTAGGAATAATCAGGTCGACCAACACATATTTAGATTATACTTCATTTATTTTTGTAAGATGAAAAATTATGCACCCCTCTTTTAACATTATATATATAGAGACTTGTAAAGCCACGCTGTTTGTCATTCTTTATTAGCTTCAAATTAGTTTACAAGTTAACAGCACGTGAAACATGTGAACAATGATGATGCAACTGCATAATACACATAGTTCCACAATCACCAAAAATTGACCAACTACTAATTTTTCTAAAAGAAATTATTTTTATTTATTTAATAAATAGGCAAATTTGCAGTTTGACAGAGGAATGCCCATCCAAAACCCTAATATGAAACAAACTCCTAAAAGCCTAGGTAATTTGTGAAAGGTGATTAGCTCTAAGCGAGATCAAGATTCACAGTTACCCATCTTAGACCCTAATGTGAAACAAAATCCTAAAAGCCAAGGTAGTTTCTGAAAAGTAATTGGCTTCAAGCAAGATTGAGATTCATGGTTACATAATGCCCAAAATCTTGATCAGTAGTACTGTGTAGAAACTTTCCCTCACTGATTCATTCTGGTGATAAGCAACACCACTGTAGCATGTAGTGTAGCATCTAGCATTTGATAACGGAACAACAATTATACAAAAAGGGCGAAATACACTCTATTTTTGTCCTCTTCTTACCTCACCTCCCCATTTCTTCTCTCTGTCCTTCAATGAAACCATTGATCCTTCACTTTTATCTACGTTTATCTTATTTTGAGTTCCTTGGCTTGCAACCTAATGACTGAGTGGAGATTATCAGATTTCTCTACTTCACCCTATATAAAGTTTATCTCTCTCTTCTTTTCTTTTTTTTTTTTTTATTCTCATGAAATATTTGGTAGATTTTAGAGTACAAGCATTTCTCTAATCAAATCTATAAATCATAATATATAAATTGCACTCTTATATTTGTTTCATTAATTTTGATCAAAGACATTAACCTCTTCAATCTAATTTATATTGGTGGTACATTACCCTTCAATTTGATAAATCGGTTAAAAACTACAAATTATGTTCTTGTAACCAAAAACATAATATTCATGCCTGTAATTTGTATTGTGTTTATGTAATCTAATTGGTGTGTAATTTGAATAAAATTCCATTAATGATTGTCACTGTTTAAAAAATAAAACCATTAACTGATTGTTTCTTTGTAATTTAATTGTAAAAATTATCACAATAGGTTTGTGTTAGAGCTATAAAATGTATTTCAAGGCAATAAAACTAATCAAAATCATACTTCTATTCCTTTCTTTTTTATAATTTCTCAATGATTCTGCAGAATTCTTAAACCCCTAAATGGTTTTAGTTTACATCATCTGGTACCGATGTCTGATACTAATCAAATAATCTACAATTATATCAATGGCTGACTGCTAGCGACCATGATTTCACATCATGCAGAATACCATGATTTCACATCATGCTGACATAAAACAATGAATGCTGACACACCAAATATAGTATTGTTACAGGAATGCACTGCATACACACACACGGGAAAATTTGTAGCAGATCAAAAAGGCATGCAAACACCATTTTCCTAATCTTTGTTGCAAATGTGCCTCATCCATACGAGGTTTACATACAATATTTTATCTTATTTATTTATTTATTTATCATCATCATCTCGTATTGGTTCCATCTAGTATCTGCAGTACAAAAATTGGCAGTAAGTACCCACCTTCTGATACTTTTGGTTGGTAACCATCAGCAGATGTTCTTGGAAGAAGCAGTAAGTTAGCTTGTGATAAGGACAGCGTTGCCATCAAGTGCAAAACTGACAGCACCTCATACCAAGCATTAGAAATTGCTGTCTCCTGAAAATTCAGAAATTCATATCAAGGTGAGAGTTCCTTTGAATGGAGCAAAAGGATGTCAAACTGAAATTTTAGTCTCACCTCTGCATCATCCTCTTGATTAACCCAAACAAACTGTACCTTATGTTGAAGTGGGCTTCCTGCACAAAACACACGGGCAATAGTCAGCTCTAATCTTAAACAGAGAACAATTCTTCTGGAATTGATGCTTCTCAAGCTTTACCATCTTTAACTAATCCCAAAAGAACTGGCAAATAATCCTCGAGAGCCTGATGAAGATCTGTCAATGTCGAACCTCCTGTAGCCAACAACTGAAGTATTAATATTAAGAGTTATACAAACAATTAAAAAAGACATCCAGTTTGTTGATGACTAACCATGCTGAGTGGCAGTTCGTCGTCTTGTTCTTGTAATCGTTGGAGCTTCTTGGCCGGCCATTACAACTATCCGGGTTCTAAGAGCAGAAAGGCGTTCCACTAAACTTTTAGACAAGTGATCACTGAGTGACTCAGAGAAATCTACAGGTTTAGGGATCCGTAAGCCAGGAACAAAAACAGAAACATCCCCAATGTTTCCTGGACGCCTTCTATTTCCACCAGAATCAGTTGGAGTCGATAGTAGGCATCCCATATCCCCAAATTTTGTATATCCCAACCCAAGTTCTACAACAAAGTCAACAGTTTGAAAATAGCGACACTGAATCAAACAAGCAGAGAAAGAAGGAAAACCACTGACAGAAAAAAAAATATAAAAATTGCAGGATACAAAGATGGAAATGAAATAAATTGAATTCCAAAATTGGAAGTTCAAGTTCGAAGGATGTAGACAATGCTCACAAGGAAAGTACAAAATTAGCAGTAAACAAGTCATAAAGTGACCTTAATAAATGATCAACCAACAAACCAGTCGGCTACTCACGAGCAGCCCACCGCTTTTCTAGGTTACCAGAACTCTGTCCTTAACATTACAGCAAAAGACAACTCGCCTTATATTTTAGGAAGTTACTATGAATAAAAAAGATAGATCTTCTCTCACCTTGTACTATTTTTTATCAAATTTTCAGCTGATGGGTCAAAACTTCTAGCTATCTCTGCACAAAGTGTATAAAAAACAAGTGAGATCAAAAAAAGAAAGAAAGAAAAAAAGCAAGAAAATCACATGAAAGGCGTGACAGCTGACAGTTGATGCGTTATAAATTAACTTCTAAAGCAATTAATTCAAATCACTAGAAAGGACTGTTACAAAAAGAGAAGCAATACCAACAGATCAAAAGCTTACAACTTGTGCACTTTGTGCACAAGTCTATCAACATCAATATATATATATATATATAGCTTCTAAATCAACTAGGATTGTGAGTAAAGGATGACAAAACCAAATTGCATACGCAAACGTAGAAGAAAAGCAAAACCATATGTTTTGATGAATTTGAATCAACCAAATATTAAAATTCCCCACACCCATAAACATTGAAATCGCCTACACAAGGGACTACCAACTGGGTCGCCATTAGAAGAAATTAAACACACCCAAGAGAGAGAAAGTGTGTTTGGCGTGAAGGAAATGTAAATTGAAGATGAATTGTACAGAAGGAAAAATAGAATTGAAGAAATTCAAAGCAACTATGTAATACACAAAAGTGATCTGGTGTGTGAAAATGGAGTAATACCTTGTGTAAAACAGCTGACCCAAATCTTTCCATCAAAGCTATAATTATTTACTATTGCAGATTGAATTTGTGATGCAAAAGAATTAACACAGCCCTCAATCAAAACCCTAGAAAAAAATTAACTAACTTTGCCAAGTCTCAAAAGCTAGTGATCGGCGGAATTCAAAATTAAGAATCCGTCGCCATAAACAGAAAGGCTAGAGAGAGAGAAGAGAGAGAAAGCCTTGGAAGATGAAGTGGAATTGTTGATGAGTAGTAGCAAGTAGAGAGAATTTTTCTTCTTTGTTTTGGTAAGTAGTCGGTTTATACTTCTAGAAAGTTAACAATAATAAAACAATACTAGCGTTTAAATGGCGCCGAACGGAGCCTTTTTAAAGGGTCTCTCTCCAAGTCTCTCTCTCTCTCGTTTCTCTCTCTAAGGAGCTCTCTCTTTCTGTGTGTTGTTCTCCCCTCTTTCTTTTTTTGTTTTCTTTCTCCAATGGCAGATTTTTAGATCTCTTGGACTTTGGAGTCCCAAAAGAACTCTTTTCTCCTGTCTCTCTCACAACCGAAAAGAAAGATTGTCCCCCCCAATATTTTCAATCTGGTGTGTGTACATACTGTGTGTATGTATTATACATTTCTTTATGTGATGATCTATTTGACACTAGTCCATTTCCTTTCAATCTCGATTTCTCTCATATAAAAGAAAATAATATTATTCTTAAAACATTAAAATTCAGAATTTTTATAGAAAGTTACAAGTAGTATACTCATGATAACAGAAAATTTTGCATGTGGAGGTGTGGTTTCTCTTATAATTTCTTATAACTTACTTTATATTTTATGTAATTAATTAATTACTAAATAAATACAACTGCTCTTATGTTAATTAATACAAGTCTCTTTTAATGAAAAGTGTTATGTTATTATTGCTGTAAAAATATCTAATTTAATAATTTCATTTCACGCTTCAAACTGCATCAAGCTGATTATAGTAATGAATCAAGTGAGTTAATAATGGGTACCGTGAAGTTTATATCATTTAAGTTAGTTGAAAGCAATTTTTATGAATAGGTGGGACTAACAAACTTGATAATTTGAATGGTACATGTTGATCGATTGGATGACATGGTATATGTGGCACACCATAAATCTATTTCTTGTATTCGTGAAAATCTTTTTTATAATAAATAAAAGTACTTTATTTTAGTGGATCTTATCTTTAGGTGTTAATTTTTAACCAGTTAATAATATTATGTATTAATACAATAAAAATAATAAAATATTTCTTTCAAAAATTTTATCCAAAATGAATGTAGTATTTTTATATTTGACAATGATTTGTGTAGTAATTGCGAAATATTCTTTTATTTTTTAATAAAAATAATTTTAAAATTTTATTTTTATCAATACAATAGAAAATAATAATTTAAAATTTCACTATCTCCAAAATTAAGCTTTCCTTTGTAAAGAGGATGTGAGAGACTTAATCTTCACATAATCACATTGGACAACATGTGTGCGTGTTTGCTTAACTACTAAATATAGTAACAATATATATATATATATATATATTCACCCCATGCTTTTCCTGCACTGCAATTGAATTACCTTTCTACCAACAAGCTTCATATTCGTTATTATAGTGGGAGATCCTCTCCAAACTCATGATGTCATCATATGTTACGTTCTAAATAAACTCTTTATTTAATTTTGTAACTTTTAAAATGATTATACAAAAAGTAGATACCAGTATTTCCACATCATTCAGACCCACTTCCCCAGCAATATAATAAACTACAAAACCATACATTTCATGTATATATATATATATATATATATATGTATGTATGATAGGATATTTTATGATATGATATGATATGATTGTAGAGTTTTCCCTTCTCTTTTCTTTAATTGTTATAATATTACATGGGTTTAACCATTGAATCGATTTGTTGCATTGGTCACGGTCGTTGTATCGAACGCGATCGTGATCGTGGTGTAATGGATTAATACAAAATTAATGTAAACTGATCAATACAGATTGCGTATTAAACTTAAAAAAGAGTCACGTATCGACTGATACATCGCATATCAGACAATACGACGAGCTATTGATGATTTTTTTTTAATAAAATAAAATAAATAACTAGGAATGGATTGCATTTTTAATCTTTCTTGATAGTCTATTGATTTATGTTAAAGTTACTATACTTCAATAATTATTTTTCTTAATTGGACTGATTGAATATTACATTGTTTGTCTTTCACTTCCTTTGAAATCTTTCCATTATAATCATATTTTGGTAGAGCAAAAATTCTTGCGAAGTTTTTGATATTATTTGTTTACAAGTCTTTTTCAATTCATCTATAAATAAAGGTGGGTCGTTGTAAACACAATAAGAAAGAAGATAATAAAAATGATATAATCATTTGGATTTTGTGTGTTGTGAATATAAACCCTAGTGGTTGAACCACGTTCTATTGTGTATTATTTTTCTTCTTTAATTTCTCTCTTCAATTTTGTATATATTTTAACATGGAACTAGAGCAGGTTTATTGTACTCTACTTTAGATCGTTCTTCCTCTCATTTCATCCTGGTTAATTTTCTCTCCATTATCAAATTATTAGGAAAAAAATCAATTTTTTTGCCATCATTTTGCACATTTCATTATTTCATGTAATCAGTTTGTTTTCGTGTCAGCTGAATAGTGACATCTTCAAAGAAGCTTCTTTGTGACCATATCATTCACGAGAGTCTTTACACCAAATATCATCATATATTTCATACGCTATAACGCATATTGTTGGCTATATGCCAAATATATGATGAATTCTTTCCTTTATAATCATATTGTAGAGATCAAGGATATTTTCATCTTTTTAACTCCTACAGATGTAAAATGCAAAGAAGAGAGATGAGAAGATAAATAAGATTCAAAAAGCCTAACACAGGGCATCAAAGATCGTGAAAATGCTCAAGTGAAAAGTTGCTTTATGTGAGAAATAGATGATCGATTTAATTATTTATTTATTTCTACTTATTTACTTGTTTGCAATGTGTGCAATATTGATAATCTTTTTTTCTTTATCTTTTTTTTTTTTTAATTTTTTTTCCCCCTTAACAAATTGTACTCCGTATTGATTAAACTCATCACAGTAAAAACATGTAATGTTGCACACATAAAGCAATTACGGAAGGAAAAAAAAAAAATAGTACATAACAAGAACTATCCTAGCCCTCACAAACACATTACATGAAAGATATAAATATTGACAATCTTATTATAATAAAATAAAATAAAATTATGATACTTTACACTTAATCTTTATAAATGTTTCAACTTCAATCATGATTTTATTTGGCTTATTAAGAGGAAGAAGATAACCCTTTGATTATCAGTTTCTATTTGTGGCTTCTTAAATTTCACAACTGCTTTTTTAAGTTTCAAATTTTTTTTTTTTTTTTTTTTTTTTTTTCAGCAAAGACAATAAAAAAAATATACTATATAATGAAAAAAGAGACCACTATCAAAAACCATGCATGTATACAGTAATGGAACCGAAGTTACAATTACTTTACGAGGGAAGTTACATACAAGATGTAAACTAACATTGAGTTAAAAAATATCAATGCATTTATGAAAATGGTAACACCCACTCATGTACACTTTTTGTGGACACGCACTAATCTCTCCCCCCACCCTTTTTTTTTTTTTCGAATAGAGAAGTTATACTAGTCTTTAGACTAGATATCTATTGATTACTATCTTGAACGAAGTTATACTACTTGGATTAGATATCTATTGATTACCATCTTGAACATTTCTTTTTAATATTTCGTATCTTTGTTGTTTTGGGCTAAATGGATTGGATGGGTCGAAACTTCTATTACTTATGTAATATTGTAATAAAAATATAATGCCGAAGTATAAAAATCAAAAGTTGAGAGAATAATGAGAGAGAGGAAGAATGAATAGTTGATAGTTGCTCTTATTCATGGTACTTTAATGTCCATTACATTCATATGTATATATAGAATAGATTGCAGTCTTTGCTTTTGATTTTGGCGCCTACAACTTGCTCCAATCAGGTGGTTCATGTACATCACTCCACCAATCAAATGCTTTTATATGTATCATCGTACCAATTGCAAAAGTGCACATCAATATACCAATTACACCAATTCACATATTTTAAAGTGATGGGTGGTGGGCTCTATATTATATAACACTCTCCGTTGGAATTTACAATACTATAATAAGAATATGTCTCGTTAAAACCTTATTAGAAAAAAATTCAGTGAAAAAAAAAAAATAAAAAAAATAATAATAAAAAATAACGAGGGAAAAAAAAAACTACGGTATTCTTGTTTGTCATAAAAGAGTATTGAATTGGTTAGAACTGACTCATTAAAACCTTACTAGGAAAACCCAATGGGACAAAACCTGAACAAAGGAAAAAGAGCACAGTACGTTAATACCCTTTTAATTAAATATTTCCCCTTATTAGTGCCAAAGATCTTTAAGTTGTCGCATTCCAATGTTGTGTACCAATTTATTGAATGTTATGGTTGGCAGTGCCTTAGTGAACAGGTTTGTTAAATTTTCACATGAACGTATTTGCTGAATATTAATTTCACCATTCTTTTGGTGTCCATGTGCGTAAAAGAATTTTGGTGAGATGTGTTTGGTCCTGTCACTTTTAATATAACCCTCTTTCATTTGTGCAATGCATGCAACATTATCTTCATATAATATTTTGGTGCTATCTGTTATTGATGAGAAGTCACATGTTGTTCTAATGTGTTGGATTATGGATCGCAACCAAATGCATTCCCTGCTGGCCTCATGAATTATGAGTATTTCAGAATGATTTGAAGAAGTGGCAATCATTGTCTGCTTCATAGAGTGCCATGAGATAGCAGTGCCACCATAAGTAAGCACATACCCTATTTGTGATTGAGCTTAATATGGGTCAAAGAGATAATCAGCATCTACATATCCAATTAACTGGGATTTTGATTCTTTTGAATAAAAAAAAATCTAATATCAATTGTTCTACGAAGATATCGCAATATGTGTTTAACTCCATTCCAATGTTTACGGGTTGGTGTAGAACTGTATCTTGCTAATAAGTTAACTGAAAAAGCAATGTCAGGTCGTGTGCAATTTGTAAGATACATAAGGGCACCAATTGGACTAAGATATGGTACTTCAGGACCAAGGAGTTCTTCATCATCTTCTGGCTGCCGAAAATGGTCTTTCTTAACATCAAGTGATCGGACAATCATTAGTGAGCTTAAGGGATGGGTTTTATCCATATAAAAACGCTTCAGAACCTTCTCTGTATATGTTGACTAGTGGATGTGGATTCCTCTTGATAAATGTTCAATTTGCAGTCCAAGATAAAAAGTTGTCTTTCCAAGATCTTTCATCTCAAATTCTTTCTTTAAATAAGTGGCAGTCTTTAGGAGCTCTTTAAAAGTTCCCACCATATTCAAATCATCAACACATACAACAACAATGGCAAAACTAGATTCAGTTTTGTTAATGAAAATGCATGGACAAATATGACTAC